GCGGTCCCAGAGGTTGATGAAATCTGGGGTGCTGGGGAAAGCCGGTGAGATTGACGAAGATGACCCTTTCTTGGAGGATGATTTACCAGAAGAGTTCAAGAAGATGAAGTTCAACACTCTCACTGTGCTTCAGCTGCTGGGTCTGATTTTGATCGTTGCCGCTTTAGTTTGTAGCCTTACTATCGAAGTTTTGAAGAAACAGACTATTTTTGAGCTGCATCTGTGGAAATGGGAGTTGATGATTTTGGTGTTGATTTGTGGGAGGTTGTTTTCTGGATGGGCAATCAGGGTGGTGGTTTTCTTGATAGAGAGGAATTTTTTGTTAAGAAAGAGGGTTTTGTATTTTGTTTATGGTTTGAGGAATGCTGTGCAGAACTGTGTTTGGTTGGCTCTGGTTTTGATTGCGTGGCATCTTATTTTTGATAAGAAGGTTGAGAGGGTGACAAATGGGAAGATTTTGCCTTATGTTACTAAGATTTGGGTGTGCCTTCTGGTGGGAACATTCATTTGGCTTCTTAAGACCCTGCTTGTTAAGGTTTTGGCATCGTCTTTTCATGTTAGTACGTTTTTTGACCGGATTCAGGAGTCTTTGTTTAATCAGTATGTGATCGAGACATTATCCGGGCCACCGTTGATTGAGATTCAGCAGGAGCAAGAGGAGGAGGAGAGGGTCTTGGCTGAGGTCCAGAAGCTTCAGAATGCTGGTGCTAAGTTGCCTGCTGATCTCAAGGCAAATGTGTTGAAGAGTGGAAAAGTGATTGGTACGCCTCGCAAGAGTCCTACGTCTGCCACTGCCATGTCCGCAAAAAGTCCAACATTTTCCGTGGTCATGTCCAAGAAGGAAGAGGAGAAGGGTATCACGATTGACCATTTGCACCGGTTAAATCAGAAAAATATTTCAGCTTGGAATATGAAGAGGTTGATGAACATCGTTAGACAAGGAGTTCTGTCAACTTTAGATGAGAAATTGCAGGACTCAAGGGGTGAGGATGACACTTCTGTGCAGATTACGAGTGAAAACCAGGCAAAAGCTGGAGCAAAGAAGATATTCTGCAATGTTGCGAAGCCTGGCTCTAAGTAAGTTACTAGACCTGAATGGACATTATAGTGCAATTTTCTGCTTTGCTTTGACATCCTGACAGGTGGTTTCCATTTCAGTTCTTTCTTAGATTATTTGATGGTTGGATTTGTCTATTAATGACTGGAAAAGTTTGCTGTATCATGCTGTTTCCCATTTTTGGTCAACAATTCCACGTAAAAACTTCTACACTAGTTGAATATGGCATCTTTAAACTTGAAATTTGTGAAAGAAGTACGTTATCTTGAATGATGGCTGGAAATTTCACTATGTCGAAACTGAAAATGCTGTAACTTTTGTTTCAAATGTTTACAACTAAGCATGAGTGGTGCTCTGATAGTCATATCTTGAATTTGCTAGTGAAATATATTCCACAGCATGCTGAATGTTTTCCATCACATGAAGCACGATTTGAAATTCTTGTGTTAGTGGATTATTATCGTTTCAGGCCAAGTATTTTGTTACCTATGAACATTTCTCTCATTCAAGAAATTTTATTTTGTGTATTAGATATATCCATCTGGAGGATTTGATGCGCTTTATGAGGGAGGATGAAGCTTTGAAGACAATGCACCTATTTGAAGGCACAAATGAAGGCAAGGGGATCAGCAAACGTGCCCTTAAGAATTGGGTAGTAAGTGATGTTCCCCCTTTTAGCCAAGTGTAATCTTGAATGACGTTTCCATTATTTGTTTCCTTCAATCATAAGATGCAGATCATATTCCAATTATTAATGTGCTTGGTGTTTGGAACTGTTGTAGTCTGGTTTGCATCCAAGTGAGATGCAAATGAAAATTTCTCTATCTACATGCTATTCTGAGAGACAGTCGAAGACTCGAGTAGCTTGACATCAGAATGTTCAAATAATCTTCTCTTCTTATTGTTGATAGGATTTCCAGATCTTGACCTTTATAGATGTGGTTAATGAGAGAATGCGTCATTGTATTCATCACTTGTTACTCTATCAAGACATGTGACTGTCCTTTTAGAATCTTTAGTGGAGCTTTCTTACTCCCTGTTCTATCTTACATAGGTCCGATCGTGTAAAACTGGTTGTTACTTTCCAGTGTGCTTTTGTTGCCAACTGTGATAGGATGTGTTATTATTTTCTGCAGGTAAACGCCTTTAGAGAACGGAGAGCACTTGCTTTATCATTGAATGACACAAAAACTGCTGTAAACAAGCTGCATCACATGTTGAATGTTCTTGTGGCAATAGTCATTGTTGTCATCTGGCTCCTCATACTGAAAGTTGCAACTACCCATTTTTTTATCTTTTTGAGCTCTCAGATTCTTTTAGTGGTCTTCATGTTTGGGAACACCTGCAAGACAACATTTGAAGCAATTATTTTCTTATTCGTGATGCACCCATATGATTGGGGGACCGTGTTGACATTGACGGAGTTCAGGTTAGATGTTCATTCTTTTACTAAAATCCCTTTACTTCTTGTTCTTCTTTTCATTTTTATTTTATTTAATTTTTTTGGTGTGTGATCTGCTTGTGAAGTGGAAGCTTGTTTGTGAATTTTATTAATGTCAGAGCCGGCTGGTTGTTGGATATAACTAGTGATTTCTCGTTCTGCGGATTTCAGATGGTGGTTGAGGAGATGAATATACTGTCAACAGTTTTTCTGAGGTATGATAACCAAAAGATCATATATCCAAACAGTGTCTTGTCTACAAAACCCATCAGCAACTACTACCGGAGTCCAGATATGGGAGATGCTATTGATTTCTGCATCCATGTTTCAACTCCGTTGGAAAAGATTGCTTTGATGAAGGAGAGAATAACTAGGTATGTGTGGGCTGCCTCTTCATCTTTCCCGTGTTACACTTCGGCCCTGAATAATTTTTGCAGATAAATTGGTTTTGCGTTTTCTTCTTAAGCCTTAAACATGTGATCAGTCGCATAAAAATACTGTCCCGAGTTTTGCACGCCCAAACTAAAGATGACGGTATTCTCTACTCTGTCTAAGCTTGTTTTGTTTGGGCGGTACATGGAAGACAATGGGGCCTGTTAATGGATGTGGACACCTATCATTTCAAGCAAGCAGTATAGCCTTCATCTGCGTTGTGATCTGATGTATGTTGTGATTGGCGGCTACGCTTGCAGGTACATTGAGAACAAGAGCGACCACTGGTACCCGGCTCCCATGATAGTGATGCGCGATGTAGAGGACTTGAACAGGCTGAAATGGTCAATCTGGCTTTCGCACACGATGAATTTCCAAGACATGGTGAGAGATGGGTAAGGAGGGCTCTTCTGGTCGAGGAGATGATCAAAATCTTCAAGGACCTTGATATAGAATACCGCATGCTACCCTGGACGTGAATTTGCGTACCATGCCAGCTTTGACTTCGAGCAGAGCTCCCTCAAATTGGGCAGTTTTCTCTACCTGACCTCATGTGGATAACTAGTGGTGAAGAGTAAGATCGGATATCATATCATTGGTCAAGCCTTGCTCTTGATGTAGTAGGGAGACACAAAATTGCCGCACAATCGGAGTTACCTTGGTTGGTGGATGCAGAGGCAGTAATCAACGACTATTGTTTAACAATGGCCAAACCTATGCTAGTTGGGTTGTGTATAGTCATCATATATAATACACTTTTGCGGTCGAGCTATCCTGATTTTCCATGAACTTCTTAAATTCTTTCGCAGAAATTTTTTAAACGTATTCAAGATTTCTTAGTTCAGGAAACTAAATCAGTTTTAAAAAAAAAATTAACTATTGAAAAAGGAATAATGGTCTTGATTATTCGCGTCCTCTGTCGGGTTATTAATCATGTTTCTTGTGGAGGTCAATTGTGGATTTGTCCACCTCGGCAACCCCGCACCTTTGAGGATGTTAGGATGGTACCGGGAGGGGCCTCCTCAAGATTTGAACCCCGCACCTTTAAGGATGTTAGGATTGAAGTCCTGGTACTACTTGATCTACTCCCGATTCCATTCTAACATCCTCAAAGGTGCGGGGTTGCCAAGGTGGACAAATCCACAATTGGCCTCCACATTTCTGTTTTACCGGTAAAGGATAATTATTAACTCATTCATGAAATTTGGCTTTCCGTCGGGTTATTAATCATGGTTCAATGAGCAATTCAGAACCCTGCCATGTTTTTTCATTTATATTTTTCATTAGTTTTCGTATTTAGCCGCATAATAATTTATGTAATGATAACTTGGAAGTTATATCAACTTGGCTTAGATATGTGTCATGCTTTCTTTCTTTTCTTTTCTTTTCAATTGAGTTTAATGTACAATTTGAGAAACAAATTTTGTTTTGGTTGAATGACATTTTGTAGTTACGTAGAATGAAACTTTCTTGATCAAGTCTTGGTCGAAGGAGTCAACAGCAAGAGAAGCAGTTGTGACTTGTAAAAGTAAACACATTAGCCACGAGATCTAAAAAATGTGGGCTAAGACCAAACAAAAGAAAAGGGGGGGGGGGCACAAGCACTGGCCCTTCCTTGAACCTATGGAGTTTATAATGGGCCGCCTAAGCCCATTCAAGCGTGTGTAACTATTATTCATAGTGATGCGACGACGGTTTGGGGATGCATAGGAAACGGGCAAGCAGGGTAACAACCCACGCAGGAAAGCCCACAAGTTAGTGTCTAACAAGTTGAGGTTTGTTCCTTCGAATCAATTTGTGTAATTCTTACAGCTTTTAATTAATTGGTATAAATTCACGTAAAATATGAGTGTAAATTTATATTTATTAAAGTAAACAGCTAAGTTAACGTTTTTGTGAATTTATATTAAAAGAAATATTATTATTTGGCCTCCTATTTTTATTAATTACACTTTCATCATCATATTAATTGTATAATTTTTTATGTAGTGGACTATATGATAAAGTAAATGATATTAAATGAAGTTTAAGTGCCTCGGGTTCTTTTAGGAATTATAAATTCCAATTATCATTTTCCAAAATCACACCAACCTGATCCGAATATATTCTGCTCCCGGCCAGCTAACCATCCTCGGAGAATGAAAAGATAAAGCAAAAACGACAATGGCCGGAGCTACTCCAATGGCGGCCACTACCCCCGTCAATGTTTACGGCCCTCCTTTGTCCACTGCTGTCTCCAGAGTTCTTGCTTGTCTCCTTGAGAAAGATGCCCCCTTTCAACTCATTCCTGTTAACATGGCCAAAGGCGAGCACAAGAGTCCGGACTACCTCAAAATCCAGGTGCCGCCTTCTTACTTTCTTTGCACTTGCTCCTAGTATCTCATGTATGTATTCCGCTTGCCAGTTTCCCTTTCCCACCCACAGTTCTCAGGGACAACTAGCACAGAATTCACAAAATGTATGTGTATCTCTTCATGTCATTTTGTCTCCCTGCATCCCGGGTTTTGCTCTTCCTTATCTTTGTAAGTTTTGTTTGCTTACACACAGCCCTTTGGCCAAGTGCCAGCTTTTCAAGATCAAAGCATCAATCTTTTTGGTAATCCTTCGTCACTCCCACTATGTATTCTTCAGTACCTTTTCTTCCACCACCCCCAAAAAAAAAAAAAAAAAAAAATCAAGTTTTTCTTATCTTGGTTTCATATGTTTGATGAATGAAGAATCTAGAGCCATATGTAGATACGTATGTGATCAGTATGCAAGCCAAGGATACAGGGGCCTTTATGGAACGAACCCTCTAGTCAAAGCATCAATCGATCAATGGATCGAGGCTGAAGGACAAAGCTTTAGTCCACCAAGCTCACTTCTGGTGTTTCAGTTGGTCTTTGCACCCCGAATGAAGATCAAGCAAGACGAGAACGTCATCAACCAGAATGTGGAGAAACTGTCCAAAGTGCTTGATGTCTACGAGAAGAGGCTTGGAGAAAGTAGGTTCCTGGCTGGGGATGAGTTCACATTAGCTGATCTTTCTCACCTGCCCAACGCGCAATACTTGGTTAATGGGACTGATAAAGGAGAGCTTTTTAATGCGAGGAAGAATGTGGCAAGGTGGTGGGATGAGATTTCCACCAGGGATTCTTGGAAGAAAGTTGTTGAGATGCAGAACTCACCCCCTGCGTAGAGTTCGTGATGGTTTCACTCCATAATCCATAATTGCTATCTTTTTGTGTTGTTCCTTTTGCTTGATTTAAGCTCTGCTTTTGGTTACTTAGAATTTCGCAATTATATGTAAACCCTGGTTATATATGACTTGTGTTTATTGAATTTTGTTTGCTGACTAGCTAGCTTCCCATTTTTCACTTAATATTGAGTTTGAGAGTTGGACGGTGTAGCTAGCGGTGATTCTTCACAAAGCATGTGACAAGCAAAATTTCATCCGCCAAAGATTGTGTTTAGAAAAATGAAAGGTCATGCAATCAAAATTATAATAGATTAATGTTGCTCTCTATTATCGTCCACTAGATTGCTTGATTAGTTGAGTACAACTCTGACATCCAATAATATTTAACTTCTTTTCAATTGGTAAATGGCGTTCCCTTCTTAAGCTTTGAATCTCTTGTTTCAGTAGTTGCTGGATCTAGCTACAAATTGTAATCTTTCTAACGCCTTGTTACAAGAAGGCACTCTGAGTTCTTGTTTTGAAAGCTTTGGATTCATTTTGCTGTCTTTTTGAATGGGCTCCGCTGTTTTAAGCTTTTTCATGCCTGCTTTCACAGTAAACTCCTTGCTTGTCAATTGAGGAAGAATTTAGACATGATTTGAAAATTTAACCTGAAGGTAGATCTGAAGCGCACGACGTGTAGCTTTAGCACACTTCTTGTTTTAATTCAAGGTGGATAATGTTGCTGCTTCTTGCATCACCTAAAATGAACCACATACCACGTAATTTAGTATTTCTCCAACAGGCGCTAGAACAAAGACATGTATTATTGCAAAATGCTTAAGGAGGACACCTCGGTTCTACTATATTGAGCTCTTTCTTACGATCCATCTGATCGTTGTTGGCCATTTTGGTCTAGTAGCTAATTGGTTATAACCTTTTTCCTTTTGTATCTTTTCCGGTTAAGCATGGTTAAGGCGTCGAACGTATGGATTTGGCTGTGCTAATTTAGCCATGTTACTCATTTTTGTGATTGCTTCCTAATAAATCCATTGAAATATGTCGAATCAGGTTTTATGATATTCGACGGTTGGAATCGTCGTCCTGAACAAGAAACTAGCTGGCAATCATGGTTGACGATAGATTCCCCTATAGTTGCTCGTGATGGATGACGCTTGAGAAACAATCTTCTGGAGTATCTTTTTACGATGATGTCGACTGAACATGGAAAATATCATACGAGCTAGGCATATTGTTCAAGTATTGCTTCGTAGTTAGCCACTTCTTTTGAGCTCAGACCCTCAAGATCGGTTCTGTTCTGTTCAATGCTGAAAGTGGGATGAACATCTTCCCGGTTCTTGTTGTTACTCTCCTGTTAGAAAGCTTTAGCGTTGATTTTCCGTCTTGTAAATGGTATCGAAACGTGTTTCAAAGTGGTGAATCAGATTCTGAAGCCATGATTGAAGGTGATATTACTTGAATTGATGGAGGGTAATTAGACAGCATCACAAAAGTAAAGCGGCACTAAATTCTAAGTCATTTACCAAGACTGTCATCACTTTCGAAATTAAACGGAATCTGCTTATTTTACGCCATCAAAGAACGCTCGTCATCCTCACAAAGGAATTATCCTTAAAGAGGTACTTGCAGATAATGTGAATTCTGTGCTCGCGCCATTGAAGACTCTGATCTGTTTTGTGGTCCCCTGTTTAATTTTACGCCCTGTTTCTGCAACCTGGTGGTAAAAAGTTTGCGGTTGTTTCCTTATTTTGGCACTGATAAGAACTCACAAAAATGGCGTAGTGATCGGCTAAAATCACCATTATCAGTATTCTGAATTTCTTCATCCTCAAGAAAATCTATTCAACTTGATTAAGTCTGGAGATGCTTCTACTATCAGTATAAAGCACAAGCAGGGATTTCGTTTTGATTGCTTCACAAAGTTTGCATTTTTCAAAACCATCTCATGGCGCAGCCACCTGATCCAACGCAAATTATTGTCCCTGTTGAGGATGAGATTGCTTCTGAGGACCGTTCTCAGCCACGACGGTCTTCAGAGAAGGAGGAGAAATCAAGGGTTTCCCTTGGAAGCGCTTCTCCTGATGCTGAGCTCACCGGAAGGGAGCACGTACAACTATTGTCCACTTCAAAGAAGGGCGACTTGGAGGGCAAGAAGAACGAAGAAACTATGGAAAGTAGTTTTTCTCGTGTCACGGTCCCACGAAAGGCAAAGTTGTTTGCCAAAAGTCTGAAGTCAAGGCTAGATGCCCCCAGATGCGGTAACAGCCAAGAAGATGAGGACTGGTTTTTGGATGAAGATGTTTTGGCTGGAACCCGCCCAAAAAAGATGAGTTTGTCGACTCTGTTCCAATTAGTGAGTCTGGTGTTGGTTATGATTATATTAGTATGCACGCTTTCACTTACCAAGTTAAAGAAAACAAGCTCTGGGATCTTCCACTATGGAAGTGGGAGATGCTCATTTCTGTTATAATTAGCGGTCATTTGGTCACAGGCTGGGGAGTGAGGATCATCGTCTTTACCACTGAGCAAGCTTTTGTTTCAAAAAATATGCGGGTTTTGTATTTTGTATACGGCATGAAGAAGGCTGTTCAGCATTGCATTTGGCTAACGCTAATCTTGATTGTTTGGCATTACCTGGTGGCTGAAAATATGGGATTGGAGACGCGAAGCAAGGCCCTAACACGCGTATCGAAGGCTCTGCTGTGTCTCGTGGTCGGTTCCTTAGTCTGGCTCGTTAAGGTGTTCTTCGTTAAGGTCCTGGCTTCATCCTTCTATAACAAGACCTTCTTTGAACGGGCTAAAGTGTACTTGTTCAAGCAATACGTGATAAAGAAGTTGTCTGCACCCCCAGATGGAGGAGAGCAGAGCGAGGAGGATGCAGCAAAGGTGGGAGGTGAGACAAAGCCAAAAGATCTTCCTCAATTTCTCAGGCGAGGGTTCTCTAAAAGGAAAGGTCAGGAAAGCTCCAAGGGTAGGCAGCGCAAGCTCGTTCGGAGAAAAGCACCAGGTCTACTGCTGAAGATGTGGCTGAGTATGGTCCACAGTGGCTTGCTAGATGGACTCTCCACCCTGGACGAGGGTCTACCTGATTCGAGTGATGATGAGGACGAGAAATCATTGAGCTGCAAAGCAGAAAAAGTAGCTAAGAAGATTTTTAAAAATGTTGCCAAGAACTCGGAGTAAGTAACTAAGTTGCTTCCAATTATTTACTCCCGCTTCTATACAAATTTTTTTTTTTTTTTCATTAGTTGCTATACCAACCTTCCTTCATGTTATCAGAGCACATCTACTGATTAATCTGCCTTATCTTTACTAGAGTCATTGTTCTAGAGGATCTGAAGCAATTTATGAAAGCAGATAAAGCATCGCTGGCCATGCATCTGTTTGAGGGAACAGCAGGAACGGAGGGTATCAACGAGCATTCATTCACCCGTTGGATGGTAAATGTTTCTTTTAAGATGTCGTCAAGTTCTTGAGGATCATATTTATCATTTGTTTTCTCCATTTTGCTTCTTGCCACCAGACCATTTTGCTTCTTTTGTTCTTCGTAGGTTGATGCATATAAAGAAAGAATATATCTTCAATTGTCTCTTAGTGACACAAAAACGGCAGTGGATGAGCTGCACCATCTGATGGATGCCGTAGTAATCATTATCATAGTTATTATATGGCTCCTCATTTTTGAGCTTGCAGTAGCTCATTTTATTGTCATCATCAGTTCCCAGCTGCTTTTGGTGGGCTTCATCTTTCAGAACACCTTGAAAACAGTATTTGAAGCTATCATATTCCTATTCATCATGCACCCCTACGACGTGGGTGACCGCTGTGAAATAGAGGAGGTGCAGGTAAGTGCTCAGAAATTTTATCCCTACTATATGTGTCGATATGCCGCACTTCTAAACGTCTCTCGACATTGTTTCAGATGGTAGTTGTGGAGATGAATATACTAACTACAGAATTTGAGAGATACGATGGACAAAAGATCATATATCCCAATAGCATTCTTGCTACAAAACCCATTGGCAACTATAATCGTAGTCCTCACATGGGGATCAAATTGAATTCTCCATCCACATCTCTACTCCATGGGACAAAATTCTCACTTTGCAGCACAATATAAGAAGGTAATAAAACTGTTTGAGAAATATGCATGATCTGCACTGGGATCTTTCTTAACTGCTGTCCTGAAATATTTGCAGCTACGTTGAAAGTAACGCAAAGCATTGGTATCCGGATCCAACGATACTTATTAAGGATGTCGAAGACATGAACAGACTGGTAATGGTAGTCTGGCCAAAACACAGAATGAACCATCAGGACATGAGGCAGAGATGGTTGAGGAGAGCATTGTTGGTTGATGAAATGATCAAGATTTTCAGGGAACTGGACATTCAATATCGCACGTTGCCTCTTGACATGAATGTCAGAAACATGCCTGCGGCAACCTCTAACAAGTTCCCTTCGAACTGGACCACCTGTTCTGGCTCAGAGCGACCATGAACAAAAACTTGCTCTTGCGTCCTGGGTCCTATAGATGTCGTGGAAAAAGCAAACTATATGGTTCTAGTTCCCTTTCACGGGCAACTGACTTGGAAATGGATCAAATTCCCTGTCAGCCAACTCTCAGATCTTTGTTGTCTTACGCATTTTAATTGAGCGGAATAAGCTGTGTTCTTGTTGAAATCCTATAGGCTAACATAAGAGAAAAACTGGACATTGAAGTTTGACCTATGCAAATTTTTTGGAAGAAATAAGACGCAGCTATCAAAAATGCTTTTATCGGGCAACATATCTGGGATAAACTGCATAGCAGTAAAGTTTGGGACCGATTATTCATCGTGCATAAACAAAATTTTGCATGGAGGACGTACGATGGAAATTGGTAGCCATCAAAACGTTGAAACTTGTGAAACAATAAATTTTAACTTGGCAGCATATTCACAAGAAGTTGACTTTATGTGCTCAAGCACGACTGTGAAATTCGTTCCTCCAATCGGTTTTAATTCACAGAATCGACACTATACTTTGGATGCAAATCAGATGATAACTTAGCATATGGTAGTAACTCTTATATCCAAAGATCTTAAGATCCAACAGCCCATCATGTTCAAAATTTAAAAAAAAAAAAAGAAGCCCATTTGGATTTTGGATAGGAGGAAATGGCACAAACAAATAGCCTCTAGCGTAGGTATACTAAACCTTTTCTTTAGTCTACGAGAGTTTACTCATAATTCATTTTCGACAAGATTGGTTGGAGACCCTTTGGCCAGCCATGGAAGCATCAGCAAAGACGGATGATGCAGGACTAGCGACGGACCCCAACGTTGGACCACCAGAGTACACCAGCAGCAACGTCAAGAAAGCCAGGCTGCACTCCACACTAGCAGCCCTTCTCGACGATCCCGTGCTGGCCGATGTGCCCAAGAAGCCAACGCTGTCCGATGTCGACACTCTCATCAGCTTGGAACTCGGCAGTGCCATGCGCATTTCCGTCCTTAAATTGGACGGGACTAGCTTCGGTAATTTGGTGTTATCTTCCATTTAGACATTTTAGCAAATGCCTTGACTGCATAATTTCTCAGATGACAGTAATTGAATTACATTTTTTTCTCTTTTCTTTTTCTTGGAACGTGTTTTCCTGCTATGAAGATGTGCCGTTAGTGAACTCTGCAACAGTGAAGGACTTGAAGTTGGCTATTCAGAAAAAAACCAATGAGATAGAACAGTCTAGGATGGGCCATCGTCACATATCTTGGTATGCTCTTGCTTTTCTGGGCGGATCATTATTGTTTTTGCGGAATATAAGTTGTACGGTGTGTGATTGTGACTAAAGTATTTGGGAGTCCAGTGTCTAGCTTGATATTTTTGTGATTTTGACAATTTTAGGAAGCATGTATGGGAAAATTTTTGTCTTTCATGTCACAATGACAAGCTGCTGGATGACAATGCTTTACTCCAAAGCTATGGCATCGGGAACAACTCTCAGGTACTAGACTCTCCATTTCACCGTATATGATAGTTTGATGGCATTCTCTTGCGACATCCTGAAATCCTAATTGAGATTTGTCCATTTCCATGTCCTTGATATCCTCAAGTGACATTTCTTGGTCTAGAAACCTGCAAAATATGTGAATTGAAAATTTGAGTAGGAAACTCAAAACTGATTTTCTATATTGAAATCTGGGAGATAAGCCCCATTTTTGTGATTAGCAATGAGTTACTGTATTCTCCTATGTGTGTTTCAAGTTAAGGGAAAACTTTGTTCGGGTTCTTGGTATGCTGTCCCTAGGAAGGTTTTTGATCTCCACCGCTACATTGTGAAATAAAAGAGTTCTCAAAACACCATGCAGGTGCGATTTATTTCCTACATTATGTCGAAAGCTTCTAAGACGCATTCCAGGAGGAGAAAGCACCGGTTCATGCATAGTCTTAAGAAAAGCACACAACCAGTAGCCATCTCTTCATTATGAATCTGGTTCTTTATAGTTGGTTTTTGCTTCAAATGTTGTAAGAAGATTCCCCAATCTGAGGTTATAATCTTCACTTGAGAAGTATAATCTTGGTGCTTAAATTTGCTAGTTGCTGCAAATTTTGTAGTCAGTCAGTCCCTTCGGTGGTTAAAAATGTGACTGATTGGAAAGTTTGACATACACTTGGCCGTTGCAACATTTCATCAGCTGAGAATGTACTTGCTTGGTGATAGTATTTTCTTAGAGCAAGAACTGTCTAACGAAACAGTTTACCGTCTCCCCTGCTGTTATATATGCTTCTTCATCAAAATAATCACTATTCCACCACCAAACTTGGTTAACTTGCTTCTTTCATTCTTTTGAAGTGTCCTGGTTTCTTCACTGTTTAGACGTTGTCAAAGGCTTTCTTTGAAAAAGGACTTGGCATTTCTTCCTTTTAACTCTTATTCCTTCCCATGTTCTTTTATAAGCAGACATAATATGCGTACCAGTTGCAAAGGTTTGAGATCTGTAACAACTAAAAATCAGATGTTCCTCTAAAATATGCACAAGACTAAAGACTCTCTATGCTGCTTTTTTTTTTTGGACACTTATGGTCCGTAAAATGGTTCTTAAATGCTCTCTGTTACTTGGGCGGCGCTCCATTGGTAGTCCTAAACTTTTACTTGGCCTAGTGCTCAAATTTTAAGTGGAGAAGGTCTTCGCAAAATGAACTTGATACACTTTTTTTAAGTTCCAAACAAAAGAATAAAGGGTCCTCTCTGGAACCGAGGGTTGTGAAAATCGCCTCGTTCTACCTTCTACACAGATGAGTCTGAAAAGTTAAAGAGAAGATTTGGGCAAAGGAGTAAAGGACTTATCCGGAACAAACCAGGACCCTTCGTACAAAAAACTAGCAAAATCAACTGAGGTTCTTCCCTATTCCTACTGCTTTCAATAAGCAAGCGGTTCCAGGTAGGAATGGTGTTTGCTGTATACTGTACATTCTTGCTTTATAAAATTCTAATTAGTACTCTGCCCCGGAGAGCCTCCAACTCTCGTTGTTGCATGATGAGTTTTAGTGAGAACTCGTGATATTAATTCTTTCTTTGTATTCCTTCATCTCGCGCTTGTATCTTTCTTTGTCCTGCAAGCCGTAGTCTTGGTAAACCTGTAATGCACAAATAACCAGCAACATCATTAATCATATATGATTTTGAGGCGCCATCAGAAGATTCATTGCAACAATAATAAATGCAATCTGTTTCTTTTGGTACACTTGTTTTTGATAACATGAAAAATTGGCATGTGTAAGTCGTGCTATTTATGCTACCGAAAATAATTCCAGGAATCATATGAGCATACAAAGGACGCTCTTTGTAATCTATGACCGACCGGGAGCAAGAAATAGCCGTAAACAAATGCCTAAAATTTCTAGACAGGATTAATTTGCTAGGTCCAGTAACTCACGTCCGTTCTTCGAGGTAAGATTGTTCCAGGACTCGCCAATCATTTTTGTGAACTCCCTCTCCCTGTTCGGATGTAGGATTTAAGCATGGCGTGTTTCTCTGCAAAAAAGAAGTTGTATCCGCTCCTGTTGGGTTTAGGGCGGCCAGGGTCTCCTCTCCTTTTCCTCTTCCTCCGACCTGAATGATGAGGCTGTGAGGCGTATGGTACAATCGCGGTGCAGGTTTTTACAGTCGACGAGGAAGAAGGGCCTCCATTGTCTGGATGGTAAAGTACCCCATTAAGAACCTCAGTACCCAGTTTCACAGACACCAAATAACCGCAATCAAATTTCCCGTCGATTGTTCCAATAGCTTGGAAGGACAAAGGACCTAAACAATTAAATGGCAAAAAAACAGAGACGTTAATTTCTGGTTTGACTTCGAATGAAAATGGCACCTAATTTGTCAATGAAACGAGTGGTAGATCAGGTGTGCATACAATTGCAACCAATGTTGTGACCAACACAGAAGAATGGAATTTCATTGTCTACTTGCTAGAAGATAAAGCCTATCGTCGTGATCTTTGATGGCCATAGATTTCTAAAGTCTCTGCAAAACTCTTAAAAACAATGGTAGCATGGCACTTGAAAGACCAACTAGGATATTGCCAACTCAAACTTTGTTTTATCTTTTTATAAACGTGAAAGCAGAGATATAGATTAATTGGTAAAATGTGCCTAGAACCCTAATGTGAAAAAATAAAAATAAAAAAAAAGAGGTACACAATGCAAAAATGAGAAAAACAGAGAGGAAATGAGGGACAACCAGTAGATTTTGTAGAAGGTAATATGGACTCCATGTTTAGATCTAGATTTTGAAGATGGTCAATAATGCTTAATAAGAAAAATGTCGCAAGCGCTCCCTTCTTTACCATCCACAAGCTAACCCCCTGTATCTCGTAGACATTTGAACTACTATCATCAGCAATCACAACGGTGCAAGGCCAACTGTGCATTTTTTTTTTCAAGTAGTACTATTTTTTTTTTCTAATTATCAAAATAAATTATTATCTGTAACCCTCAATAAAATCCTTGAATGTAGTGTATATATACAATGTAAGACATGAGATTTCAGTAAGCTAAACACATCATACAATAAAATAAAATTTTTATACAGCAAACGATACCATGCTACTTGATATATGTCAACAATTTCTAACGAATCAGGTTTTGAATCGGCTATATAGGGTATAAAATCCCAAAAACACATATAGTTTATGTCCAGAACGACTCTAGATGTGCGCCTGATCACTAATACTAAATCCTATGCTGAGCGTGCAATAATGGATGTACGAGGCAATCCATGAAAAGAAATTCCAAAGTTTGGATCTTCATTCATATCGTAACAAATTACACCAAGGTGAGATGTAAAAACTCCCAACCCATAATGGTTTTTTTTTTTCTCCCAGTTAATTTAATCTAATCTGATCTAAGGGAATCAAAGGAGTGTGAGATAAGGGGTCGCCGTCTTCCAAGTTCCAACAGCAATGAGTTAGACCACAAGATTTAGACATATACACTCTATCACCATTATCGCAGGTAAAAAGGAATTGATCATTACATTTGTGGCAGAGAAATTAAGCGATGTGTGGTTCTAATTTGTATATTTATCGACTTATCGCCTGCCCATTAATGAGTCATGGCCTGCGGTTGGAATGAATCAACTCTCTCAAGGTAGAATTGGCCATATTTCTTTCTTTCCCAGGAATATACCATAGCTTTGGCCGTTTGGGTCCCCCCATTGAAAATGAGAGCTCAAAGGGAACCCAAAAATCACAAAGTCTAAAGAATAATAAAAATTTGTTCACCTGGTGAATCAAGCATGGGAGCCTTGAGCCTGGAGAAGTAAACCTGTTCGTAATGGAAGAGCAGACTACAGTAATGCTTCCTCAGCGCATAAGAAGCGCTGGTCGTGGTTGGAGCAAACTCGAACACACAAGAAACTTCCCTCCACTTCTTCTGTGATACAACCTACTCAAGCAGCAGTTTATGTATTATTTTAACCAACAAAATAATTACTACAAGTTAAAGCAAACATTTATTCACTTATAATCTACTAAAACAAAAAGTTACTCCACGTATATATATACACACACACACACACATATACACTCTACTTGTACTCGACCACCTTGTCAAAGCCTCCCCTCTTTGTAACTTCCGCGTACAGAACATGCAAGTTCAACTCCTTTCCTCCGATCACAGGAATCCTGCACGTATATAGGAACAAATGCACACCACATTCAAACAACCATCTCGTGTATATGCACCATTCTCTCTCAAACACGCATTCTCTCTCTCTCTCCCCCTCCCCGACACACGCAGCCACAGTAAACAGAACAATAGAAAATACTACTCGATCATAAGGAGCAGGGACGAAGATTTTACTATGGCCGTCGTGTTTTTCTGGGGAAACTTTAGAAGGGAGAGGATTAAGAAGGGGCTTACATGTGTTTTCTGCCCATAGTCTTATGAAAAATCCGAAGCGTGTTCCAGAAAACAGAAGCGTTCTTGACAACTTCCTCATGGCTGGCCAGCGGCGATGGATAACGCTTAGACTCCAGTTCTACTCCATTCTCAGCTCCAGGGATTACAGGATTTGGACGCATTCTGTTCTCTCTCCACCGGACAATCAAGAAAGCTAGGAGAGTACTGGGGGCTTAATGTCGTCGAAGCTCAAAAGTAAGCAATGCCAACGTCATAATGGCAGTGAAAAAAAAGGGGATAATTCCTAGAAAAGCTGGTGGTTAAGTATTAAGTGTGCACAGTTCTTCTGACTGAAGCGACTAAAGCAGGAGTTAAAGGAGAAGAGAAATGGGCACGTGCGATGCAACGGTTACACAAGGTTTTTGGCTTTAGTCTGGCCAACGGCGTCGTCAACTGGTCATGTCTCAATTAATTAATTAAGGCCCCCAGCCCTTGTAAAATCTCAGCCAAGGCACTGACAAACTTCCTCATGCTCATTAATTTTCACCGGCTAATGTAGTAGTAATTCTTTCCTTACTGCTATCGTGCTATCGTCCTGCCATAAATTCCTTCCGTTTTTTTGGATAATTTCAGAAACTTTCCCTAAGATTGCTTATAATTCCACTAGCCTCCCTTAAAATTTGCAAAATAAGACTAACCTCGTCTGAGGTTAAGATTTTAGTAACAAATTTCAATCCAAGTTAAAAATATATATATGTGCTTTAAGGAAAGAAATGAAGTTTTTATTCCATAAATATATCTTTTGCATATGTACAAGTTGCATTAGTAAAAAGAATGAAAACAATTAAAAGTTAAAAATAATTAACACACATTTCACTATTCAAAAAGTTCACATTTAAAATATTGTTTTTTTTCTCCATTTTTCCGCTTCACTTCCATGAAATTACTTTATAAGTATTATAGCTTTAAGAGTTGCAAAGAAAATTTCCTCATAAACAATTTTCTTTTATCCCATATTTTCTTTTTTCTATCAAAGCTCTTCTTCTCATATTGTGTATGACTAATTTATGATCATTATCACAGATGGGAGCCATTTGGCATTTCAATCGGTATTTGTAATTGCAAGTTGTTGTTCATCATTAAATAAATTTTCAACAATTTTTTTTATTAATTAGTTACTAACAGTTAATATTCTAATTACTCAATCGCTTGACATTAGTATCTAATAACGCATAATGTCTTACAATATATGAGTAATTTCTGCTCGTGTGATGTAAGCAATTGAACTTACAATTCTATCAAGGAAGATAAATATAATTTTATAAAATTTATGGGAGGCCAATAAAATTATTAGAAACTTCAAGGGAGGTTATTTCTTTCCCTTTGCTGGTAGGCATCAATTGATGCAAGTTAGTAATTCAAAGCGTACTTTACTTTGGAAAGGCTGACATTGACATACAACAACAACTGTTGTCGCCAGGCCTCTGCTGATGATATAATTGGGAGTCGGAGTATCTTCGACTTCGGAGGAGAGATTGAAGGTTGACATGATTTTGAACTGCTGAAGAGCAGTAAAAGCATCTGATCATATCTTTACATGCCTCTTTTGGGTAGATACATTCTACAGGTTTCTTTTTGGACGACCCGAGTGAATCTACTGCGTCGCGCACCACATTGGTAGCCTATACAACAGTGTGTGTTAATCTCAACCGTCCAGACGGTTTGATTGATCATCAGGCCATTGACTGTCTGATGCATAGTTATTAAACTCGATTCGGAGAGGAATTCGGTGAAAGAGGTGGGTTAACGGGTTATTGGTTCACTCGGTGGGTGAGTGATCCAACCGATGGGTCACTCACTACATATATTTAAATATTATGTTTTATAATTTTTTATATGGTTGAAACTATGATAAATTATGTTATAGTAAATACTCAGTTAGTTCAATTTATTATAGAATCATTAATTCTTATAAGAATTAACAAAATCTAAATTTAATTAGTAATCCACCAAACTTCAAGTATAAAATTTTATCGAAGTATAATTATCTAGTTTATTTACGAATTTTAAGTGCAAAAGGTTATTAAGAATAATATTTGTCTTTAAAATGAATTGTGTAATATGTTATTTTTTAAATCCATTTCATAATTTATAGAATTTAGGGAATAATAAAATTTTATTAAAAGATTCCAAAACAACATAAGAATAAAACTCTAATATAAATTATAGAAGGGGCAAATAAGCACCGGATGAGCTGCTAGGCTAGTGGTGAGCGTGCTTAGCCTTTATATTTGAGTTTTGAGGTTTAAATCAGCATTTGCAATTTTTCTAAACATTTTTAACCAAAAACGGGATTCCTTAGAAAATCGTCCGGTTCAATCGAGTTGGTCGGTTGAACCGTCGATCCGTTGAAAAGTCAACGGTTCTCTTGCACAAACGATCCAATTACAAATCAGCTCGATTTCATAAACGGTTCGCCAAATTGACCGGTTGAACCATCGGACCGAGGCCAGGTTTAATAACTATAGTCTGATGTATTCGAGCTCCCACCAGCCATTTTCCTCTTGTTTCAATTTTAATTTCACCCTAAAAAATTTGGAACCCATAGATTTGTTGTTTGAGCGAGTGAGTCCGTGAACTGGGACTTGAGACATTAATAAAGATCACCGGATTTTGGTGGTAATTAAGTACTATAATAAGCGTTGAAATTTTAATAAATACTTTGGGTAAAACAAATACTAAATGATTAATTAGTTGTTGGAATTGAAAACTAGCTGCTGTATTAGATGTATGGAGTCTCTAATGTAGTCACTACTCACTAACAATTGACATTAGTTGATAGACTGACTTTGTTTGGATTGCCATTTTTTTACGTTATCGTGAACACATTTTTCAATTACTGTTTTATTTCACATATATCAATTTGTTATAGTATATTTTTTCTATAAAAATTTCAAAAAATAGCAATCCAAAACTTAATCTTCATTAATGCTTGCTTGCAGTGATTCACAAACTACACCATAGCGACTTATTTTATTATGTTTGTCCATGTAACTTAATACAAATACTTCCCAGCAAAAGTTGGACTGGACTTAACTATCTAGTTAGTATAATTTTTGGTCCTCCTTATTAGTTAACATCTTTAATTAGTCTTCACAATCAATTGAGGAATCATTAGCTTCATAACCACTCATACCGCAACGCTCATTGAAATTTCCACTCCCAATAAAAGCTTGTCTGTCTATCTCTTATGTGGTATGGTACTATAGTAATAAAAAAAAATTCCAAGTCCTCGCAGCGTATAATAAAAACTTGGATAGATAGATTCGATCTTATAATTTTAGTGAACCAAATTTTGCCATGAATTTGTAAGATGGCGTGGCAAATTTGGCGAGCTCATCAGCACTTTTATTACTCTCCCTACGGATGTGGCGGTATTTTACACCTCCAATTCCTTCGCAAAATATCTCAGAGGACTTTGCAACGAATCTCTTACATGAGCAGTAAGCCCAACTTGGAAATCTGATGATAGAATGAATCCCCGGATCTCTGGTACAAGTTAAACATTGTCCATACAACAAAGCCACAATTTAGACAATCGCTGCCAACTTGCCATGCCCAAGTTTGGGAGAGTTTATTTCCACAATAACTCGGACTCGTTTGGAAGGTGAGTTTTTTGGATGTTTGTTTAAAATTTTACTGTAGATTACTATAGAAGTTGTAAGAAAAATTTTTAGGTTGAAAAATTTTTAGGTTAAAAAACTTTTTTTCCTTTCTTTTTCTTTTCTTTTTCTTTCTTTTTTTTTCTTTTCTTTTCTCTCTTTTTCTTCTCCCTTCCACCTTCCCCTTCCCCTTCCCCGGCACCTCTGCCCCTTCCTCCCTCTACCTCTGCCCCTCACACCTTTTTTTCTCTTCTCCGGCTCCTCTCCCTACCCTTTCCCCGGCACCTCTGCCTTCTCCTCCTTCTCCCTCTCTCCCCATTTGCCTTCCCGATGCCGAGACCTTGCAGGCTGCAGCCATGGATGTCATATCTGGCGACTCTTCTTCCCTCAGTCCAGTGGAGCTTAATAGAGGGAACTCTGGATGTCCGACGCCAACAATTCCGGGCTCAGTCCCGGGCTCGAGCTCAAGTCCGATCGCTAACTCCGACGACGTCGTTTCTCTGTCAGCAACGTCGAGCTCATCGACCTGCACCACAACCATTTCAGTCGTCCAATCACGAGCGTCGCCGCCATGGTCGCCCCCCAAGAAGACGAAATTGCCCTCGTCGGAACCCTCCAAAGCCATAACAGCCGCCTCCCATACTCGCCTTCTCCTAGACAAAGCTAACAACGGCCCCACCGCTTCCCTCATTTCCTGCTCCATGGTGGCGGCGGGGAGAGTGTTGCTGCGGAGGCGAGGGTGGTCCCGGCGATGGATGCTGTGGTGAAAGTATTTTGTGTTCACACGGGCGCGAATTTTTCGCTCCCCTGGCAGCGGAAGAGGCAGTATAGTTCGAGTAGTAGTGGGTCAAAGGGGAGGGGAGAGGAGGAGAGGGAGGGAAGGAAAAAAAAAAGAGGAAGTGGCGGCCGGAATAGTGATCGTCGCCGGAAGTGGTGGTGGTAGAGGTGGTCGCGACGGAGGACGTGGGGTGTGGGAGGAAAAAGAAGAAAAGTTGAAGGAAAGTTTTTTTGTGTATATTTAAAGTGTGTAGGTTAAAAATTTTGATAAGTTTTTTGGGGTTCCTGTAGCAGAAGTTGTTAAAAAACTAGTATTATACAAACTTGCTAAAAAAACAACACTTCCAAACAGGGCCCTCATTCTTTAAAACTATTCCCAAACTAATGCACTTTCAAAATATATTCCATTATTAACTTATTTGTTGCCATGTGGACTTTGAGTATGGAAAGTATTCGCATTTCCATCTTATATTAAGAGGTATAATCCACATCAATGGGTTCTTAATAACTTTTCAATAGTTCAAATTTTGCTACTTATGTACAATCTTAAAGATAAATAAAAATATTTCTCTATCTATTATTGAATTAATTAGTGTTTCTAACATTAATTTTGCTCATATAGCATGTTAATTTTGATACTATTACTGACTTAGTTATATTTTCTCTCTCCTATTTTTTTGGAATGTATTCTCTTTTGATAAGCGTAAACTATGTTTATCATGTATCTTGAAATGTTTACTCGGATTTCAAACAATTTGAGTTTTTGCAAACTTCTTAAAAATTTCAAAGTTAGGAGACTACCATATATAAAATTGCAAGTAACAAGAAAAAAAGAAAGGAACTTGTGATATAATAATCAAGAATAAAGCTAGGGAGAAATAATGGCAGCAAAAAAAAAAAAAAAAGAAGGTTCTTCGGCAAAATCATTGCAATTTGGAGGGTGATCAACAATTTTAAAAACACTAATTATGGATCCACTTTCCTTTTTAATTTGTTTACAGAATGTCCTTAAGGCACTAAATAAAGAAAAATGTGTAATATCTAAACAAAAGTTTACAAGTAATTTTTTTCCTTTGACGGAGAGTCTACGTGGCAATAACTAGATTAATAAGGAATAAAAACTGAAAGAGCATTACTTTGGAATTATTTTTTGAAAAGTATATTATTTTAGCAAAAACTCAGTTTGACTAACCACACATGTCTTATGTTTATCTTTTTTTTTTAATATTTTTTAATTTTACCATGTATCATATGAAAAAAAATTTACTACAATCATTACTTTCAAAATATTTTAAATAATCCTATCCAAATGCAGACGAAAAATTTTTTAAATGATCTTCTTAAAATATACTAGAAGAGTAATGATTTCCCAGAACAGAGATAAGAAAATTTTTATCTTTCCTTTTTATTTCTTTTCTCGCATAACTTATATTTTCTCTCCTTTTCACAAGCTAGGCCTTGGAGTATAGATATTTACTGGAAAAAAAAAAAAGAGAGCCGAATCTGTAAAGATTTTAAAAAAAAAAAAAATGTTGACTTCCGAAAATTAAAAAAAAATAGTAGGGGATAGATGAGCATTGCCTCTGCCGCGATATATAGTAGTAATTTTATTTTAATTCTGTAGTATAAGTAATCTGTGGGAGTTGCAGTGTGAGAGTTGACTTACCAGAATTTCCCAAAATTCAAGCAGCCAGTCTTATTCTTTAGTTGTTGCCTTCTTCAGCCTCCGGCTTTTATCATATTCCGGAGCTTGTATGGCGGCGGCGGCGGCAGCGACGACCTCCAATTTTGATCCTCAACTTATCATTTCTCACAAATTCCCCGAGGTCAGGTTCGGTTCACTTTGGTATTCTGCTTCTTTTCTTTTCTTTTCTCCCTTTTTTTCCCCCTTTTGGTTGGTCGTTTGACTGCTCTTGTCATTAGTTCGATCAACTAAGATAGAGAGCTGAAATTCTATGGATTTGACATTTTTTTTATATGCACATAAATTTGGTGGTGCGAAAACATTTACTTATACAGAAAGAGATGTAGCTCTATATGCTCTGGGAGTTGGAGCTTGCTTGAAGGATGCTTTGGATGACAAGGAACTTAAGTATGTTTACCATCCTGATCACGCCCACCAGCAATCCATCCAGGTCTTTTCCCCCCTTTTATAATCTTCTGTCGCTACTGGTATATTATCCATTCAAGAGACAATTTTGTTGCTTGTGCTGGTGCCTTTGTTTTTTTAGGAATAATACTAGGATTGGATGATTCTTAACTTCAGTTCTGTTTGAAGACAAGAAAAGATGGATGGATTAGAGGATGTGGGGGCGATAACATTGACTGCTCTGCCCAATTTTTGACTTATGTTTTAATGTGTTTATCTTGTAGGTCTTGCCAACCTTTGCTGCTTTGTTTTGTCATGGAGTAAGTTCAGAAATTGGGCAGCTTCCTGCTTTTCGTAAGCATTTATGCATTCAAACAAGTGAAGTTTTCCCCTGTTCACCAGATTTCCTTCCATTCACCTTGTTATAAATGCCACTGGTGTTCATTTGGGATTTTTTCTGTTCAAAATTTTTGTTAAGCAAGTACTGTCTTTCTCCTGTGTCTACCTTTTCAAACAAATTGTAATTATCAATTAGCTCCTAAAGTGTCTGTCTGGTGAATCTGACTTGATTTACTCTTTGGTGTTAGATATGATCCACGCCTTCTATTGCACGGGCAACAGTACATTGAAATCTACAAGCCACTTCCTTCTAGTGCTTGTGTAAGTGTTTGGCAAAAAATATAATTTTCCAAAGAGAGAATGAGAAAAAGTAGAAGCTTTAGATACTATATGTCATCTGCATTCATGTGGAGTTCATGCTTGGAGGGAAATGGACAATAAGCTAGTCGTGTAGTGACCCTAGTCCACTCCTATTGTCAAAAGTTAGCTGCAGAACCTGTTATCAGCTGTGTACTTATCTGTTTGAAAATACCTTGTTCATAAGATCACAGGTGACCAGCTGCTTTTTCAAGTTGCAAGTTACCCCACCTTTTTGTGCTTGAGAACCTTCTAAGGAGGTTGCTTCTGCATTTCTATTGCGACAAGCATGACAAAAAGAAACTGAAGAAAGAAAAGAAACCAATGGCTATGGGATTGCAGGGAGGTTGGTTTTTTAGTTAGGGTGCCAAATAGAACTTCTAAATTGCAGAGGCAGCTAACTTTGTGATTTGATTTGAGTTATCAAGACTCAAATTGTTTGCAGTCTTGTTATCACACTAATGAAGCCTGAAGCAGAGTTGAATGATTTGGGGATTGATAAATTTATGGATTGTAAACTTGGATTCGGTTTCCCGTGAAATGGTGAATTAGACAGTATCTCTAGTTGGATTAGGTAGTAGATGCAATTTGATGTGTGCTGCATATATTTATCCTGTGACATTGTCAAGATCATCTCTGTTGATCAATTTGATTAATGCAGATACAGAATGTAGCGAGCATATCTGGACTGCATGATAAAGGTTTGTTTCAGAAAATACCACTATGGTTATAGCATGAATTTTTGTGACTGGCACATACCTGATAAAATCTTTTTCAGGAGAAAAAGTTTGATTATGATTTGGTCAATGAAGGATATTAAGCACTATAGAAATAGTTCAAAAAGAATGTCGAATAGATTTTTCATCTGTTAGTTGATAGAAAGATCCCCAACCACCCTCATCACCGCTGTCCTCCGTGCAAAGATAATTATCAATGTGCAAGGCTGTACATTTATACTTAATCATGAACACTTTGATCAGATATTAGTAGTGGCTTTACCATTTTGATTGGTGACTGGTAGGACCAAGAGATGTCAGTTGAAGCTCCTTCTAAGATAATTTTGTGCGTTCAAAAAGAAACTAGGGGTTTTTCTTTATTCTACTTGGAAACAACCCAATTCTTGGTAACAATGTTTTTTCCCCCCTTTCTTGGTAACAATGTTAGAGTTTATTGCTTGCAGGTAAGGCGACTGTTCTGGAAATTGAAATTCTAAGCTATGAGAGAGAGTCTGGTGAGTTAATATGCATGAACAGGTAAGCTCTTATTCAACTGACACAACTAAATTTGTTATTATTTGGTTGATAACCATGCTATTAATTTTCAGGATGGCTGTCTTTTTGAGAGGTTTGGGGGGGTTCTCAAATTCAGCTCAGCCATACTCATATTCAAAGCATCCCGTGAATCAGACATCAAGTACTAGACTCCCAAAAAGTCCACCATTTGCTGTGTTTGAGGAATGCACTCAACCATCTCAGGCATGTTTAAAATCAATTTGCTAATTCTACTTTGTCATGCTGCTGTTTTTGGCTTATGTCTGACGTGCATTGATCTGATATTAAGATTACATCTAATGACATGAATACTGACACAGTTGTTAGTTTTGTAGGATGCATCATGCATATGGTCTGATACATGTCAGATTTAAGCAATTTTGGGTGTATCATGATAGTGCATTCAATATGATCAACAATTGTAAAATACAAGAGCATGTGCTGTGATACAATGTGCATCTTACGTCTGTATCATACAACACATGAATGCATTTGAGCCAGTTAAATCAACTTATGGAAACAGATGAAGAAATTCTATGTACATTTAATTGTATTTATTATTTTCAAAATTTTTTACCAACAAAAATAGTCAGTTTAATTAAAATAACATGCCATCAAGAGTTACACATCTAACCTTTGATGTAGATTTTTCTAGCATATAGTTTGCACACATTTATTTCACTAATATTGCACCTATTCTCATATAATTCTTTTCTGTCCTGCTAATGCTTAGCTGATACAAATCCCCTTTTTAAACCAACTCAAAAGGAATTAATTTTCTTGCCACATTATTCTTGCTTTCACATGCTTTTGTATTTAATGAAAAATTTATTATTCACTTACCTGACTGGTTTACATGTTAGTATTCTAATTCTATTAACATCTTGTATGACCTAATACTTACCTATGTTACCTTGATTTATTAATTTTTTAAATTTATAATGACATTATTCTATTTATGAAATTACAAAATCACTTTTATTTATGTGATAGTAATCAGTATTCTCATGCAAATAATCATTTAAAAATTTATATAAATACTTATAAACATATTATGATATGATACAGCATATCATGAAAATGAATTTTGATGCACAATGTACATCTGGATTCGACTACTATAAATATAGGTGCAGGAGAGTGGGATTGGATGGGTTGGCACTGTAGATCATTAGAGTCATTTGACTTCTTTGAAATATTGCTACTTGGAGGAGATTGAGGATGCTAAGATTCTCTCTTTTGGACTTTAGCTTTCACTACCTTCAAATATGTTGCTTAGTACCTTTGAATGTGCTTGAATTTTTTGTTGATGCACTACACCCTATCGTTAGCAGTTCCGTGCATTTTGGGCAGTAGTTTTCAATGTTACTGTGCTTACTTTAGATTTTGTCCATATATTGTGCTTTTGTTTGTGCATAATCATTTCACCTTTTAAATTGACATTGCCATTGTGCAGGCATTACTTTACAGGCTTTCCGGAGATTACAATCCTTTGCATTCAGATCCCAGAATTGCTGAAATTGCTGGGTAATTTGAAGCTAGTTGTTTTTTGTTGGTAAAAATTCAAATGGCATTACTAGTCTTTCAGCTTCTTTTTTTGTTTTATTTTGAAAACCTGAATTGGTCCTTGATCTAGGGTTTTAGCCAATTTAGTCCTTAAACAATTTCTGCTTAGCCATTATGTTGTTCCACCATTACTCTGCCATAAAGAATTTTCTTGCCACTAGCTAAGGCTGATAGGAGGAACGATTTTGATAATCTACAAGACTCCTCCCTCTTCTTTCATGTAAGTTTTTCTAGTAGGATGAAATTGTTTATGAAATAGTTGTTTAAGAACTGAATTGGCGGTTAAAAAGTACTAGGACTATTGTTGATTTAGGATAAGTTAGAGGACTATTTAAGTCATTATTGGCATATTTCTTCTACTATATATCCGTGCTGAAATTCAGGCGCTGCTTTAAGATGCAACAAAAGAAAATGACATTCTTATTGTCTTACTCAAGCGATGGGGTTATCCCCAAGCAATAGACTTACACTTGATTTTGCTAATTTTATTCTGCTCTAATTTCCCATATTGCGCTTTGCCTAGATTTTCCCGTCCAATATTGCATGGGCTTTGCACACTCGGCTTTGCAGTTAGGGCTGTCATCAAATGTATCTGCGGAGGTGATCAAAATAGAATCAAGAGCATATCTGCCAGATTCCTGTTACATGTCTACCCTGGAGAAACTTTGATAACAGAAATGTGGCTTGATGGCCAGAGGTAAGTTGCTTCTCTGAGTTGCAGGGTGTTTGCCTCTTTTTTTTTTTGGCTCTGATAACGCAGAGAAACTTGTTGAATTCAACGCATGCTTCTTTTCCTTTACTTCCCTTTTGGCCCTTATATTCGTTTCTCGAGCTAGGAAAATCTTATTTATAAGCCAAGCACTGAGAGAAGGTTGAAATGTGCAGAGTATTGTACCAGGTGAAGGTGAAGGAGCGAAGCAGGGCTGTGCTTTCTGGGTTCGTGGATCTTAACCTGTTAAATTCATCTCTTTGAAATTGCTGGTGAATAATATTGTAGATTCCAAATAATATCAGTATGGTGCAAATAAGCAAGCAGAGCAGCTTGATAGTGTGTTAACAACTGACAAAATTTGGTATATTCTGTGCGTTTATACTACTGTATCCTGTGTGTTTGTGGAAAGTGCAATAGCAGAGCCATCGTTCAAAAAATATAGCGCACTCATGCGAAGTTCAACTTGAACTCGAACGCCCGAATTGAGGCAAAATTTTGGTCTTTATCTGATCTTTGAAATAAAATAAGCACCCCAGAATTAAAACCGCCTATTTATGGGATGGTGAAATGCTGAGCACATCTTTCATGATACCAATACCAACTACACTATTTGGTTTCTTGCTCATAAAAATCCTCTTCTCCAGTATGATGAAATATTCAAATCAGTAGTGTTTAAAATGGAATATGGTAAGCCGAGCCATTTCCTCCCAAAGAAGAAGAAGAAGAAGAAGTTGGGGAGGGGGAAGAGCGAAAGCAAAGGCCTAATTGTTGTTTCCTGAAGTGGCAAATGTTAATGGGGCTCTAATTGATGTTTGTGACGCTTTTATCTTCTTTTTTTTTTTTCCATAGTTTTTGCCAAAAAAGGCATTGATCTTCTACAGCATTAATCGGAAGCAGCTGCATAGAAAGATTGGATTGGGTTATGACGGAAAGAATTTGAACGGGAAAAAATTTGACAAAGAAAAGAAGACTTTAGCCTAAAAACCCAGAAATCCTTTTCACCCCAAACAGAAAAAAAGCCCAGAACTCAAAAGACTGCCCTCGCCTCCAGATTCAAACTTCAAAGTCGAATAAAACGTCTGAAAAGAAACAAAGAGAGGGGAAGTAATTCAAAAGAAAAGAAAAAGGGGTGCTTCACATAAACTTGATTGCCGCCACAGCACCGCCTAGTGCAGGAGGACGCCGGTTGGCAATGGCCAGCGAAGTTGTGCAGGATAACAGTGGCGGCGATGAGAGGCCGCAAATTAGCAACTCAGCAGCAGCCAACGTGGGGAGGAGGTAGAGGAGCTGAAACTTCTCCAAGACGCCGTTTACGCTCTTCCCACTCACGCGGTCAAAGATTTCTTCTCACTCGGGGTATGCTAATTTTTTATACGCTTTATTTATTTTCTCTTTCCATTTTTTGCTGTTTTTATTCTTCTTAGTTCTCAAAAATCATTCTAGTAACTTAGCAGTGTCATTTTAAGCTAATTCAATGATAATAATTTTGATGTTCAAGCTACTCTTTTCAATTGATTGTAATTGATGGTTTGGAATTTGTTGAATTTCTTAGAAACTGTGGAGAACCGTGATGAAAAGGAAGCTTTCTCTTCTTGCTTTCTGATATATCTTAATTTTGTACCTAGCTTCTACACGATGGGATAAATTCCATTCTTATCATATTTTCTTCTGTAAATGTTCTCTTTCCATTCTTACGCAGGCATGTGCTCGGTGCATTTTTCGATTGTTTGGTCTTTGTCAAAAGATTTCTTCTTTCCCTTCACTGCCAACAGCAACTATGAATGCCATGCTTGAAAAAAATGTATTGGGGCGGGACAGAGATGATAACTGCAGTGGCTCTGCAGAACGCAAGGACTCGGGTAGTCAGCAGCTATCTTCTCAAACATTTGTCTTGGAGCATGCAGTCTGTAGAATCTGTTTAGGCATATTGGACTATGTATATCATGATGAAAAAGAAATATTGGTGAAGAAGGATTCTGCTTATGAGTTTGCTAAATTGTTGCTGAATCTGTCAAGCAAGAGCATCCTCAGATTGACAGCTTTTCTCTTGAAGTTTCATTGCCGCCTGTGGTCATGGATAATGAACAAGTTGTCAGGTAGAAAGATTTCGATTCCTTCCTTTATTGATATGGCACATCTATGACTTTGATCAATACCTTTATTGAAGTCCCAGTACTGCATGCCTATTCTTTAGTTGGTTGATTGTGATGATAACTGTTATTTTAATGTAATTGATGCTGGAAAATTTGCTTGATTTCATTGGCATATACGTCATTCCATAATCATTTTCTTCATTGCCCACTTGTAATATTTTCTGGTTTCTATTTATGTAAACTTTGTAGGATTGATAAACAAGTCAAATATTGTTCTTTCAGGTCCTTTATGAGAAAGAAGTATGGCTCTGAACATTGGTTCCTGCAAAAAACTCTGACTGACTGTATTTCTATAAAGGATGCCTTGAAATTGTCAATACTGGATACCCTAGAAAAATTGCTGGTAATTCAGATCTCTGTTACCTCTTTCATTAGAAGCCATTCAGAAGTGTTAAATGCTTAAGTTTCTAAATTCATGCAACAAAGGCATGTATTATTTGTACTCTGCCTTTTCTTTTCAGAATATTAACATATGCAAACATCTCCCTTTATTCTCTGGTGGAGGAATAGTTGATTCTTATTTTATTTCTTTGAAGGCTACCAATAAACAATTACATCTTTTTAAGTTCTGATCTAACTGCTGCTCATCTACCTCGTTGTTGGGCTAGACTTTCAGGATGCATGACACAAGATTGGAACTTTATAAGTTTTTCTCATTCCCAGGGTACAAAATCAAATCTAAGCACATTTCGCATACGATTGACATATGAAACTTCTGAAGAGTCAAGAAGAAAACCTGACAATGAGGAGATCGATGGATGCAAAAGGAGAAAAACAAGTAGCTGCCCTAAACTACTTCTTTTGGAGTTTTTGACTTATCAAAGATATTCATTTTAGCACATCTCTGATTTCTAATAACCTTCTGCAGTTACTGATATAATTGCTGACCTGTAAGTTTTGGAAGTTTCTCCCATGGATATTGGAGAAAAAGTTATAAGAGCATTCTTTGATATAAAGGATTTACTTAAAAAGGAAAAGGAACATCCTTCAATATACTGGATTTAAAAAAATAATTATGAACCTCAACATTCTTTGTCCAATTTTATGACAATATTCTGAAGAGAATTTGTCTCTGCGTATGCTAGCCAACAGAATAATCTGCAAGTATGATTTAGAAGCTTTCCATTTAAAGTAAAAAGACAGAGAGACCCACATTCCCATGTTCTTTCACTTTACAGTTTCATGAATTTTCACCTGTTTTCTGGGAAGCACAGCCTCCCCCTCCCCAAAGAGAGTAGAAAAGTTAGTTTTTCGCCCTTGTTGGGCTTCAATTGTTTAAAATTTGCTTTTGAGAAGTCAAGGTTTACTACTTCAAAATTTTTGCCCAAACATATTGCACATTTTGTGTATCGTAATGTAAACTTTGACAAACACTTTTCACCATCTCAATGTATATTTCTCTGCCTGTCCATGGATGTTTTCTACCAGAAACACAATGGATGCTATTTACATTTATGCATGTGATTTTAATTATCGAGTGATCACTTGTGATAAAACAGATATGCTATATACTGCTGATGAAAAACAAGCATCTGAGACATCTGGCTCAAAAAATTTTGCTGAACATGAAAACAAACAATATGAGTGCACAGAGGGCTTTGCAAAGGATTTGGAAGGTCATGGAAGCGATTACCTAAAATTTCAGCTAGAGAAGGTATAATTCCATGTATGCAAGTTTTGGTTCATTTACTTTCTCATCTGCGATATACCTGCAATTCTTTCTTATTGTAAAAATTACAAGTAATTGGATGCGTGGATTTTGTTTTATTGTGATAAGATTGGCTGATGATGTGAGAATAGTTTATGGTATTGTGCTTATGGTCAGAATTTCTGACTTTTCAGGAGAGTCAGCCCTTTGGTTTGGTATTTCTTTGTTATAGATGTCCAATCTACATTGGTGGGAGATACCTTAAGGTATGGTAATTTCAACGAGGATTGTGGTTAAATCTACACCTGTTATCATAAACTTATGAAATTTGATAGATATAGGATGTGTGTGTGTGTGTCTTTGTACAACTTGAAGATTGTGGAGCTCTCTTTTGACTGCAGTACTCAAGAAATGTCAGCCAGACTTGCTGGATGATTGAGGACGAAAGAATGGGGGAAGCATCAGTAGAGGTGTTTCCCTGTTTTTCAATAGTATTTTTGTTTTTCTGGCTTATGTTGTACAAGAGTGAATGAAATTGTTGGCCATGCAGGAAATAATAGGTGGCAGCATCCTTCCTCTCTGCCAAGGTGATGGTTACAAGTTTCATGCTGCTGGTAGAGAGGATATAGATGTATGGAAGCTCTGGTGTTTCTATTCTTTTGTAGATGTTGCTAAATGTTGTTTTGATGTTGGAAACCTATTTTTTCAGGTCAGGATGTTGGGCACAGGTCGCCCTTTCCTGGTTGAGGTACAAAATGCCCATCAAGTTCCTTCTGAAGAACTTATTAAAGAGATGGAAATGAAAATAAATAGCCAGGAAAATAAACTGGTATGTGCTGTTTTAGATAAATTTTCTGTTCGAAGGTTCATTCTATAAACTTCTCATGATGTTGCTGTGCTATTGATGATTGCATTATCAGGTTGGGGTTAAGAATCTCAAGATTTTAGACAACAAAGGGTGGGCACTGATGCGTGAAGGAGAAGCTGAGAAACAGGTACGTGCCTTTTGCTTTAAATCAATTAGTTCTTTGTTTTCTTGTCAAAAACTTGAACTGCAGTCAAGATATCACTTCCACAATTTGTACAGAAGCAGTATGCTGCTCTTGTCTGGATTTCTCGCCCTTTTAATGATGATGACTCGAAGACTCTATCTTCACTTCAAGAGATGGTGAGTTTGCCTCGCTACCTCTCTCTCATATATATAGGTGTACATATATATTCGTGTGTGCGCGCGCATCAGTATTTGTTTTGCTCTTGCAAATAAGTAGCCCTATTATATATGCAAGATATGTTTATCTTGATGCTTAAGTAGTTTCTTTGTTCCTGTTTGAATTGATTTTACTATGCTCTTCCGGGCTAATAGGTTAGTAGTAGTACATAGAATTAGCTGTAAGAAAGATTGGCTTTGGTAAATTGCTGCATGCAGCTGACCGCGATGTGTTGTATTGAACTAGCCTTTATATGATTCAGCAAAGTTGTTTAGTTTCATGGACATAAAACTATTTAGCAGTTTCTTAATTGTGCTAATGTTATATATCTATATACAAGTCATGATTGGAATATGCTTTAATCCAATGAATATGAATTCTACATCGCTGATTTGTACAGTAATTGGTGTTTTCTTGCCTCCGCAGCAAATTTTACAGAAAACACCAATAAGGGTTCTGCATCGTCGAAGTCCTTTGGAGCGTGAAAAAGTTATACATTGGTACAAGCTCCACCTTTTACTATTTTATTTTTTGCCTTATGAATTAAATTCTATTCTCCTATAGTCTGGTTGGGTTTACATTGTTAAACAGGATGAAAGTAGAGAAAATAGCTGGAAGCTGTCAGTATTTTCTCTTGCATCTATGTACACAGGTTTGTTTGCTTTGTTTTTTTTTTAAACAAATCCACTATTTAGTTTCTGAGGTACTGGTCAACTATTGTATGTCATGGCAAGAAGTTTCCTTTACTTCACTTTACACTTTCATAGTTTATTGGATGAAATTTTTGCTTTTGCTTGAGCATGTTAGAAGATGCCAATCATAGATGAACCGAGGCATGGAATGGGTTGCCATTGCAGAGGAAAGTGTTGCTTATTTGTTTGTTTTTCTCTCAGTGGTTCAAATTTTGTTGTGTTACTCAAGGCACGATAACAGCCAGAAAGCTGTACCTTTGCTTGGTCTCACATTTAATCTTGCTTAAAAATTTTATGTTTTTAGTTGCTAACAGGATGCTTAGACTCATGGATAGGCAATTGTTGTAATGATTATTCGCGAGGATAATGTTTTTACTACTAATACTTGTGGTGGCTTAACTTGTGATGATTGTATATTAGGACAGGCTGGTACATATATTAAGGAGTTTGTGCATGGGGATCTTGGAAGAACACACCCCAGGTATGAAGATCTGACCAATTTTTTGTTGCCGACAAATTTATGTTAGTTTTTGGTGATCATAACCTCTTGCAAAATGTTTATATTTCCACACTGCCCTTTACAAAACAACATCCTCTTGTGCTATCTCAGCCTCCATTTTCATAATTGTCGTCTATCCTGTGTTGCAGTATTGGTTCCATACTTGGGTGCAGAGGGAGATACTGCAACTTGATGTAACAGACGTGAAAATGGACTGCTTCTAGGATGAATGAGTTGATTAAGGATTCCGTGGGACAGCTCCTTTTCATCTTGCAAGAAAATGCTTTCTGGAGTTGATGGTTCCGTCATTTCCACGTCCAGTTCTGGTCTCCTTTAGCCCTAATGCCCGGGTGATTATGCAGTTAGGATGGGTTTGTTTTGCCGGCACATCATGACAGGCTTCTGCTCAATGTTTTGCAGTCCTAAAAATCAAGCACAACTTAGAGGAATTCATGATGACCGGAGTCGCTGCATAAAATCACTAACAACTTGGAACATATAAACACCTGTATCAAATAAAGCGAGAGCAGGAGGTTTTATGGCGAGCAGAGCTTTCGTGAAATGGGTGACAGTTGGGACGCTAGAAAACAGGTCAATCCTTGGATTTCAGTGGAGGATCTCTGTAGATTCTGCACGATAAGATGCCAGAGGAGCAATGTTGGCTTGTATTTTGTTCTCTGTACTGCAGTAGTTTAATTGTTGTAAAAGAATTGATAGTTGAAGCAGGGCGGTATGCAAACGTAAACAAGATAAATTTCCAAGTGGAGAGTATGATAATTTATGGTTTTCTTTCCTGAAAATCGACATAAACATGGATTATTGACACTGTACAATTTGAAAAGAGACGTCTGTATTCATCATTTTCTCGAGTATACGAGTCTATCACCCGGCAGAGTAATAACTGTGGAAGCATTGAAGTAGTGGGCTACCCAAATGCAAAGGATGTGAAGGCTCCCAACATCTGTGGGATGGCTGCCTGAAGACTTGCTAGGAAGTTCCGTGCTGTGATGAAACAGGGTCTATCTTTCCAAGCTAATGGGTGGTGGATGTATTTCCTGCCTTTTGGGTTCTCACGTCCATAGTCTATGGAAAGCGGGCGCATTGGGGACTCAGGGCACGGACGGTTCTGCAACCGACCAGAGCAAATTTAGTCATTATCAACTGCGCGTAACTTTCTTTGTACATCGTGTAATTTTTTTTTCACAGGATGTATTTTCACAACAGATAGTGGTGGGCCCCACACTTGGTGCGGAAATCGAGTTACATGGTATAATCTCAGCCGCACAAAATTTTGAGGGCAAATCTTGGCCCTTAACCGTGCAGGGACGGTCATACTGATGACCGTCCCTGCCCCAAATCCGCGCATTGGATAACAGAGAATTTTTGATGGATGGTGATGGCCGGTAATCATTGCAAGCTATCACTGTGGAGAAAGACTGGAACTTCATGGCTACCTCTTTGGTGTCCCCATTGGGCAGGCTGATTCGTTACTTAGCAGTGTAATGAGAGACGATGGAGATTCCCGGTCCATTTGATCGCCAGTTGATTCTTTTAGGTTGGCAAGGCGTCCCTCGTATTTGGTCCCCATCCGGCCAGGCCGCTTACTCCTGTTGTTGCTGGTTAATCTCGGCTAATTCCCACTCAAGGAGTTGGATCGGAGTCTTGAGTTTGAGCACTAGGAGAGAGCCTAACCTCAGATGCCAATAACTTAACTGAATTAGCCTCGATGCAGGATAGATAGATTTAGTTCTATTTAATAATAACTCTCCAACTTCCATTTGTGGTTATTCTTAAATAATGCTACATTTGATTTGGGTTCGCTCTAAGATTGGTTTAATTGACTTAAAAATCACTATAATATCTTCTTGAATTCTCATCCTGAAATTCTTAAATAATGCTACATTTGATTTAGGTTCACTTACAAATTCTCCCCACTGTAATTAAGAATGGGTAGCAATTCACCCCTTATGTTCACGAAATTTAACAAGTTGTCCCTTGATGACTGATAGTTCAAGATAGTATCAGTTAACATTTCTTTTAAATATTTTGAATATCCCCAATATTTTCCTTTTTTAGTCCTTCACTTTTGCGATGGTGTTTTTTGGCCCTTTACATATCCAAAATGCATCATCTCTATTCTCGTTTCCAACTGCATTTTTACTTTCAATTCTAATTTTCAACTAAATTGAACTAAAACGTAAAAAAAATAAAACTATTTTTAAAGTACCTAAATTCTTTCTCCAAATTCTAGAGTATTATTGTAAAAAAGTTTCCAAGGTCAATTGACATTTTTTTTAAGATCAATGTTAGGTTACTATTTAAAATTTTATTTAAGGTGCTTTCAGGGTCTAACCAAAATGTTTCCTTCATAATAACATATTATTAGTTAGATTCTAGAGTTTTGTAATGCCTCTAAAGAAAGTGCATATTTTTCACTATTTTTGCCATATCATTTTATATCCTATATAAATAAACGGAATAGGGGAAGGAGTCAAATTTATCCTGACGGGAGCAATAGTAACAACATAGTTTATAATGATACAAGAGTAGATATAGTAAGTAAAATTATACGAAAAGAAAAAGAGATATGAAATAGCCATAATAGATACGAATGGATGATAAGTGGTTGATATATATATATATATATATATATGGAATAATTTTAGAAACCTTCCTTGAGGCTTTTCATAATATCACTTGGCTCCCCTGATATTTTTAAATTCTCACTTATCTCTCTTGGATTGTAACATTTTAACCCCTTTGGAGAAAATACAAAAAAGATAAAAATTTTATTTCAATACTATCCTTATGTTATTTTACTTGTGAAGTTTACAATAATAATAAAATAAGGTTAAATTTTTACAAGGTGTAAATTTTGTTAACTTGAACTATTTATTTTTGTTTGTATTGGAACAAAAGTAAAAGTTACACCTTGAAAAATTCACACATATGAAGAGATTATTTTAGTTTTTTGTAAAACTTAAACTACATCATTTATTAAAATATATTTCCTAAAAAATTTCCGACTACCTTATAATTATCCACCAAAATTTTCAAGATGTCAATTATTTACTAAAATCTTTCTAAGTGGTTGACTTTGATTAGATTTAATTTAACCACGTTCTTTGTTGTACTACCATGATCTCAATATAGAAAAATATGGATCATTATTAGATATCAATTTATTTTTTTTAATCTACATGTTTTGGTTTAAAATTTTATTTTATTTTTTGGTTAAACAGTTATTAAGAGAAAGGGTAATATTGTTAATTTGTGACTTTTGATAGGAATATTTAGTATTGTTAAACTGATAAAGGAGAAAAATGAAAGTTTAAAAATTTTAAGGAAGCTAAGTGATATTATGAGAAACGCAGGAAGGTTTCTAAAATTATCCCTATAGATATATAACGTACCAATCGATGGTAGAGACTAGATTATTCACCTGGAACATTGAAAGATTTGTCAGAAGATTTTGTCTTTGTCAGGAAGAAAAAGGGGGCAAGAGAATTTATCTGTACCCGTATCAAAAAGACCTTAGGAAGGCATCTTTATCTTTTTGACCTTGGAATAAGACTTGTTCTATTCGAATCATGATGGTTGATGGTAGTGATTCTCCTTCATTCCATGCTAGAATTGGAAGAGGATCACGAATAATGCTATAAGCAAGTACTTGTTTTAATGCCAAATCTATGGTTGTCGGCATGTGTGTGTATGGGTCCTCGATATATTGCCACTAGAAATCATGTTATCATTCTTATGGAAAAACATGTAGCACTTTGTTTGATAAATTTTTCATCTAAAATATCAAAAACCAATGTGCCAAAATATTGTGATCATATGTGTAAAATGACCCAAAAAATTATAAAAATGTTATTTGAAACTAAATTGCAGTATGAAATTGCCTTTGCTTAAGTGTTACGTGATTTAGATAAAAATTACAACATATCAAAAATAGAAAATAATTTTACAAACTCTAAAAACTCACTCATAATATGTTATTATGAAGAAAACATTTCAGTTGGACTTTGAAAACTCCTCAAATAAAATTTTAAACACTAAATCTAATAAAAAACTACAGAATTCAAATGTAAGGTACCATTTGTGCAGTTTTTCCAAACATATAATAGTTGGGACACGTTTGTCCAACGCATTTGTAAATCAATCAACGTGGACTCAGAAACCGCAAATACTTGTGCACAATTTGCCACGTCAGACACTACCAGTCTCATACAATACAAAACACAAGGCCCTCGAAATGCTTTCAATCGGGGCAGGTTCAGAATTCAACGGACTGTTGTACGCCTCCGAGCTTTTGATTTCAGGACTGTATTCCATTCCCCTGCAAATCTTGCTGCTTTCAACAGTCACATTACTACCACGGTTATCAACCCCTAGGCTCCTTCTTTCCCTTCCAATCATCACTGTTCCCTATCCCTCCTCGACACCTACCTACCTGGTAATGCTGCCTCTTCCATCAAATTGTTCTGCTCCATAAAAAGCCATCCCCTTCTGCTCTCCTATGTCGTCCCAGTTACAAATCTCAAACAAATCTAGGTTCCTCTTCACTCTATTCCTAAATAGTTGGCCTCTCTCCTTTCTACCAAAACACCTTGTCCAAAGCTTACGCTTTTTTTTTTTTTTTTTTTTTTTTGCCCCCTTTGTGTCTGGTTGTTCTTTCTCTAAATGAAATCCAAGAGAGTAGGATTTAATTCTTATAGTTATGCTCCGCTAAAATTGACTTGTCTTTGTCCGCTAAAATTACATAAGAGGAGTCGGGGAAGTCAAGGGTGTTGTTATGGTCTCTCGTTTATGTGGGAAAAAAGAAGGGATAATTTCAAAATCCTCCCTGAGGTTTCTAACAATTTCACTAACCTCCTCTGAAGTGAAGTGTGAGGAACGAAACAACTCATTTTGTAAAATATGAAAAACTATGGATCGAATTATGTAAATTTGATTTGACAATTTTAAAAATGACGGACAAAAAAATCATTTTATAAAATATGAAAAATGTTTTGAACGATTTTTCCATATCTAAATTATATTTGTCTTATGCAGTATTCCCTCTCCTTAACAAATGTTTTGATATGATTTATCAGCCATTACTTGGAAAATAAAATTGCTGGGAGAGGGACGAAGAGAAGGTCTGCATTTTACGTCTCTCGAGTTATGTCTCGGAAAGGAAGGAACGGATGCTGATGATACGGTATCGATTGGAGTCGACAGAAGACAGGAGAAGGATTTGCAAGTAGTTGAGTTGGGCTTACCCCAATTTTGCCGATCTCAGTGTTGGTCAGGAAGATAATTTTGTAAATTTCAGGATTATAGGGGGCGATCATAATTAAGCTAAACATTTGGCAATATTGTCGATGCCTTGTAGAGTTTGTACATGGAAGTTGAGTGTGATCAAAGTTGACGCGCATCAGGCTACCCGTATCTGTTCCTACCATATCGGACCGTATAGTGGGCTACTTCCAGCTAAGAATGATGAGAGGGCAAACATGCCAGGTGTAGAGGGACGGAGAACACAGGCCCCAGAAAGTATCTACTGATCCAAAAAGTTGGCACACAAAAATCCGTTCAGTGTGGGATAGCGTCCATCTCCAGCCTCGTCAGAAAATCACATTTTCGCAGAACCACCCACTAATCTACCCAGGTTGCACCCAAAACCTTTGCCATGAAGGCATATCTATCTGCAGCTTCATCAATCTGTCACAAAGATTGAAAAGCTCAATGCCTGAATGAAAAATAATCCCCCACGCCATGCCCGGGAAGTTTAATGATAAATGGTTTACCATTTTCTGTGTCGGACGACCAGCTCCGTGTCCAGCTTTCCGTTCGATACGACTGATGATTGGGTTGGTCTGAGGACTGC